AAGAAAGAAAGAAAGAAAGAAAGAAAGAAAGAAAGAAAGAAAGAAAGAAAGACCAAATAGAGAAAATATACTCACGAGTGCAAATGTTGGTGGTGGTGGGGGTGCTGGTGGGGGAGGGACGGGCATCTTGGATAGTTAGAATTTCAGCAGTCTTGAGGGTAAATCTGTAAAAACAGAACACATTGGTGCATTAGATCTGTTAATAATATCCTGTCAGAATCTCCCTACCCTCTCTTCCACATTGACACAGGCTACCTTTTAGAGGAGATGGGATACACTACATTTCCCTCAGTTAACTTGGCAAGCCTGTTCAGGAGGGACCCTGGTGAGAGGGGACGCTGGAGTGGAGATGCCAGGTGTCACACCCAGTACTTACACTGTTCAATCCTGTCCAGCACTGTAGGCCACAGAGGCATAGGGCGACTATAAGCCTGTGTCTGCAGATGTAAGCCTGTGTGTGCAGAAGCAGGAAGACTTTCTGGAAGCTACTAGAAATGCATCCCAGTCTGGTCAAACACATTTCAAGGATACTTTTCCTCGCTCATTTCCTTTCTGCTCTCCCACCTTTCAGCCTCCCTTGAACAGGTCCAACATTTTAATGAGATCTCTAGATGCTCCAAAAGCGCTGGAATTTTAGAATCTCTGTTAGAGTTTGAGCCTCATGCCAGTGCCTGGGACACCGACCACTTGAGGTCTATCCAAGACTAGCCCAAATTCCAAACACAGGAATTCTTTTCCTTTCTTCTTAATAGTCTCTCCCAACTGCAGAAAACAATTTCTTAGCACTTAAATATTAATTTGGCTCGACCACTAAAAAGCTAATGTGGAAAGTTTACGTCTTAAGACAAACCATCCATTAAAATACTGCGGGGCAGCTTGCTCCCTGTGAACAACACTGATAGACTCCCATACCTGCTTCTAAACCAGACAGAGGACACTGGGGACCCAGTGCCTTCAAAGTGAGCTAACTATGAAACGGAACTTAGCCCAGAGTGGTGGGGCACCCCTGCAATACAAACACTTAGGAGGCAGAGGCAGGAGAACATGACAAGACTGAGGCCCGCACAGTGAGTCTGGTCTGTGTAGCAAGCCCAGGTTAGCCAGAGCTACAGAGACATCCTGAGAAGTAACGTACTTTCCAAGTTCTTAATTCGTTACTTTCTAATCTTGGGGTGGAGGGGTTCTATGAAAGACCACTGGAAGTGGCTTTATCCAGTTTTGGTTTATTACTGCAGTGGGCTATTTGAAAACTCAGAGCATCTTGCTCTGTAAATATTGCCGGAAGTTGCCCTCAAACACTGTACTACATAAAATGGAAGGGTTGAATCAATAGTTGGGTGCTTTCTTTGCCCTGTGTGTGGAAGGATGGGGGAGGGTATCAAAGGAACAGCTCGAGACACAGAAACACTGCTCTCCCACCCTCGCTACGGTTTTTACATTCTACAGTTTCCATTTAAGTCCTGCAACAGTTTATGAATAACACCCTTAATTTTTTTTATGATTTCTTGTGTGTGCCCAGCTCCTTTCCAACTTAGTTTTATTATTTTCTCCCCTGGTTCTGAGGGAAGCATTGTGGAGAATAGCAGTCAGCACAAAAATACACCAAAAGTTCTGCTTGTCCTCAGAAAAAAAAATTCAGTAATAATTAACTTTTAGATTAAAAGGGACCTTGGGTAAACAACAGACAGAAATAGTTCTTATTTTGATGTATATTCTGCTAGCTTATAAATGCATGGAAGCATGCATGCATTCCTGGGCACCCATCCCCCCACTCTCAGGCTGGGCAAATGTATTCTCTCCATCTCCCTCCCCTCCCTCACCCCCCCCCCCACACACAGACACACACGTGCACACACACACTTGGCCAAGAAATATCAATTAAGAAATTTTAGAATACACATAACTCAGTAGTGTCTAAATGAGTCAAAAGTCTTAAATTCACATTGTTATTACAACTATAAAAATAAATAAATACAAGGGTGTTCATTCCAGAAACTATGGATGTACTTGAAGGCACATAAAATTATTTAGTAATATGAAATTGCTGCTAAAATCATGAATTTTTTAAAAGCTCAGAGTGTGGAGATTCCAACTGGAAAAATTCTTCTTGATTTTTATTCTTTAGAGATTCCAGAGTACAAACTGAATTGGATGTCTTTAAAACCTGAAAACCATTAAAACTAATTAAGGTGAATTTGGCTTTGTTCTTCAGCTTCCTGTAAAAGGGCTCAATGGGAAAACTGATGCTCACAGTAAACCACAGTCATCCTGTTTCCTTAACACGGATCTTTTCACAGGTGCAGTTGCCTGTAGTTTCTATTTTATGACACTAGTTGCTAGGCAACATCATCCCCCAACCCTCCCCCAAGACCTCTCTGGCCATTTTAGAGACTTTTAATACCCTGGCAGAAAGGCTTGCCGGTCTTACTGCTAATTACTTCACCTTTCCTGAGCTGAAGGTCCCTGCTCAGGACAAAGAGGCAATCCAAACAAGATAGACAGGAGGATACAGAAAGCAAAGCAAGCACTCCACACAGAGTCCCCACGAGTGATGGTTTGCCCCTCTCGAGTTCAGTGGAACCCATGCTGGCTGCGCATGGGAAACCCCACTTCCCACAACACACTTGTTCTTTGCTCAGATGCTCATCTGAAACAACAGCTTCAGTGACTACTTGTGTTGTTTTCTTCCTCTCTGCAGCAGGTTGTGTCGGCTGCACTTGGAGGGTGCCTGGCTAATTTAGACAGGCTTCATTCAGAGTTCTAGATAAGGGGGTGGTTTAGGGCTGAGACGTAGCTTAGTGGTAGAGAATGTGACAGCTGGTGGCCCTAAAAGTGTTCTCCAGAGCCACACGGAGTGTCAAGAACCTGGGAGGCAGAGTCGCAGTCTCACTCCAACAGTAGCTACTACAGGAGAAGCAGTGGTCACCAAGAAGTGTGTATTCTAACTCACTATCTTACATTTTTTTAATTTAAAAATTAACAGAAACTATAGGCATCCAGGCCATTCTAAAAGTAAGAACATGTTGTTTACCTGGGTGACTGATTCACAGGCCCTTCTAAAAGTAAGAACATGTTGTTTACCTGGGTGACTGATTCAGCTACCTGTGGTTTAGCTTACCGGGTAAGGACCAGGAAATCTTTTACTTTATCCAGAGAAGTGAAACTGATTCTCTTCCCCCCATTTTTTGTCCTTTATAAGTACCTTCCTTAATTAACCTCTGCCTCCAATCTGCAGTACACACACACACACACACACACACACCCCATGGGTGCACACATACAGCGTTCAAATCAACATACTGAATATGTTTATTTTATCATCTCAAGAATAGACTTATGATATGTGCTGAAATGTCACCAGATTTATTTCTAAAAAGGTCAAAACACTTAGAAAGGAAAATATTTTACTTGTGATTAATCATTTTAAGCATGTATTAGATGTTGCTGTGATAATTAAAACAAAACACTTTGCAATACCCGATTCTCAGGACTAGAAAAGGTCCTAGAAACCAACTGTACAATTTATCATGTGGTCTCCCAGCTATGCAGGTGGAACAAGTTCTTGGAATCCAGAAAATTTCCTCTATACGCAGTAGTTAGGTGGCCTTGGGCAAACAACTTAGCCTGCCTAAGCTCCGTTTCCACTGTCGATGGACGAGGGGCTCTCTACTTAGAGCTACCCAAGAGTTCAACGAAGCAGGGCTTAGTAAGAATTAGCCATTTGTTAAAAGTTTTAAAAAGGACAAGCAAACATAAAGGACAAAGCACAGTCTAAGTGATGAGTGCCGCCATCTTTCCTAGGTTCTAACCATGAGAAAGTGAAACCTTAGCCCCTGTGTGCACACACAGGCCACCGTTGAATCACAAAGGAGACAGGAGTATGCATAAAGCCGGTCTTGAGATGGATCAGTGGTTAAGATCTCTTCCTGCTCTTGCATAGCACCTGAGTTCAGTTCCCAGCACCCATATCATAACTGCTGGTGACTCTAATTCCAGAGGATGCTCTACACTCTCATCTCAGCAAGCAAAATTATGAGCACATGATACACATAAACTCACAGAGGCGCACACACAAATAAAACAAACAAACAATAAACCACATCTTACATTTCCCAGAAAAGTATCCTAGTTTAAGGCATTTCTTACTCTCGTTTTTTTTTTGTTTGTTTGTTTTACTTTTTAGAACTTAAGGTCACAAAATACAGGCAAATATTCATGGCAGTCCAAAGTAAATGTTCTTTCCAATACACGGCACACACATGACAAATTGATAAGGAAAAAAAAAAGGGGGAGGACTTTAAGGCACAAATGTATCAGAATTCAAAACAAAACAAAACAAAACCAAAAACAAACCATTAGACTTCCTACAGAAGTTTAAAGAAGTCTGTAACACAAATGAAGTCTTCATTAAAATGTTACAAGACCTCAAGGGTCTGGGACTCAGTAGCTCACCTCCTCTAACATGTGGAGGAGAATGGGTCTGGGGGAGTCGCGGCTTACAGGCCAGAGCTGGAATCTGCGTTCCTCAACAGAGGGTGCTTTCCAGCACAGCTCTTCCAGGCTCTGTGTCCCGGCCACAGTTTAAATGGAGGTACTGAGGAGCAGTGCACAAGCACCCACAGACATACTTTGCAAAGATCATCAGAGAAGCCGAATGTGGTTTTAGGCAAATCACTTAACCTCTTTAGACTGATAAAAAAGAGTTTTGATCAGAATCAACAAAGTTCTGGGCGGCTAACAGGAAACCCCGAGGAGAGAAACAGTCTAAGATGCACCATCAAGGGCTGCAGCCTTCCCTAGCTCCTCCCCTTCCTCTTTCTCTTCTCTTAGTCTAGTCAAGTCTATGCGTAACCCTCTCCTTTCTGAACTGGAACTCTCTGTAGCCTTCGTTTATATTTGTGTTTCTACTCTACACAACAGATGCACCATCAAGTTAGTGAAGACTGCTTGTGCCTGTTGACCAAAGCTGTGCGTGCCCTCCTTAGTGAGAAAAGTGTCGCTCCGTATTTCTGTGGGGGCAAAGAGGAACATGAATTGCCTTTTTAAACACAGCCTAGAGAATTTTTTTTTTAAACAAAAAACCATTTCCTTACCCCTGCTCCATGGGTCTCTGTATGCACAGCTTTAAAGTTACAATTATGGGTGACGTCATTTACTATTATTAATCATATTAGAGTTAATTATGACAAATGGCACTGAATTTGATTAACATCAGTAGTTGCCTCTGCACTGTTCTGATGTGGATCAAATTACTCTAAAATACAAAATAACAACTTCCTAATAGCCTGCCTGAGCCGGGGCCACACCACATGTGGAGCAGAACAGCTGCAGCCTCAGGCAAGCAAGGGGTGCGGGGCGGGGCGGGTGTGCTTTCAAACTGACAGTGACTAGTTAGACTTTAAAAATCCTATGGCAGATCAGGTTGAAGACTCAGAGGCAGCTCTATGGACCTGAGTTGACTTTACGGAGCAGAGGCATGTTGACTGATATCTTATGTTAAATGACATCTTAAGGCTCCATCTTATGGAAAAATGGGAAAGAAATTAATATGGATCCAAATCTGTCCAATGGTCAGGAAAAATTCTACAGAAAAAGCTCACTCACATCTTGGCTCAGAGCAAGTTCTAAAGCATTCACAATCATCAACATCAGGCAGCAGAAATAAATCACATGCTGTTCTACAGAACAATTAAACATCTTTATCTCGACATACTATGGCCCATTAAACCTCATTCAGTTCTTCCCTTTTGCTGATAGAGGAAATAAATTTGGTTTGAATACAGTTTTTCTTACCGTTAAAAAAGAAGGCATGATCAGAGACTCAGAGAAAGAGAGACCAGGCAAGACATGAGCCGGAAGAGAGAACTGTCCCTCAGAAAGGCATCATCTTCTAACACAGGCGAGGGGTTGTTTCTGGGCAGCCATTTTGGACAAACTCTGGCCTCTTGTTTAGTGTGACACACCAAGTCAGAGGCAGGCATCCTTCTGTGGTATTCACTTCCTGCCTGATTAATTTCTCGTTTGTTCCTTCCTCCTTCGCTATAGAAAAAGAAACTAGATTGGTTTTTACTTAAGAAGCAATGAAAAACACCCAAATTAAAAAGTTTCTCCTTCCTTTAGGATAGAATGTAGCCACTTGATGCATAGGTAAGTGGATCTCTGTGCCTCTCTCCTGTTAACAGCTTCCCACCCCCACCCCCAACACCTCTACAAAAATAATTACTCTGGAACTTGAGATTTCTTCAAAAGAATTCAATTAGAAAGCACAACCCTCAATTCTGACTATTTCATTTAGCAATATTGAGAAGAGTCACTGAAGAAATAAAAGCCCTTAAGTACGCCGAGAATTAGCCTAAGTGAGCCTCCCTCATTTGCAGAATGTTCAAGTGTGTGGGGAGAGAGTCAGGATGCAGGTGAGGGGTACAGGTTGGGTGCATCACAGCAGGCAAGCTTGGAAATGCCACCAGGGCCTAAGTCAGTAGAAAGGGGACTCAGAGACGCTGTAGACCTGCAGTTTTCTAGACCCGAACGTTTTGTTTCCTCTCCCCATACTTATGGACAAATCGACTCTGCTAGAAGATGTTTGACAGAAGCAGACAGAGTGAAGACAGAAGAGAGAGGCAGGTTCTTACTTCTGAGGTGGATGACAAGGGAATATAGCTCAGGATTTCACAGCCTTCGGGCCAATACAGAGTAGCATAACATATCCATACATTTCTCTTGATGCAGCTGAGAAATTCACATTCATTTTTGCAACACATACCACGTAACTGAGAAAATGGCTTCAGGTGAAAGAATGAAAAATGAGATATGTTTCAAAAACTTCATTATGACCCGTGAATGTGGGATCCTGACACTGGCGTACAAAGCCCCAAGTTACTCTGACACTCCCTTACCTGAGCGGGTGTCTGGGAGAAAAGGATAGGGACAGTTTCAGTGGACAGTGGTTGGAGGAGACGCTCGTAGGGTGCAGTGGGACCAGGAGTACTACATTTCCTCTGGTGCTTATGATCGCTCCACCTCAATACCAGAAATACTGACACTGTAGGGTGCTGGGCAGATGGGCTCTGAGTTCAAAAGATAGTACTCAAATTCCCTGAGATCTGGGTTGACTTGAATAAGCAGAAGTGTCACGATGTTGAGCCATGGGCCTAGTTCCTAGAAGTGGCTATCCGAGGGTAAAATGACTAAGGTGCTTTACTGTCTTGGAGCTGCCTGAAGGAACACAGGGCCTCCTGCCTAAAACAGGCCTAGTGCAGGAAGTGTTCAAACAGGACTCGTTAGGCATGAGGCCCAGCAGAGTCAGAGGCTTGCAGCCAGCATCCACTTCTGAAAACCCTTGGGGCAACAGAAAGGATGATCAACTCACTTAAATGCTTGGGTGAATCTTTGAGGAAGTCTAACTATAGCTGACTCTAAAATGAGAACATGGGCAATGGGAACTTGTCTACATGTTTACGGAGCTATTTTGAAGTTCACTGTTAGGCACCCCAGATTCACACATACAGAGAGAGGAAGAGAGATAGGAGAGGGCAGAGAGAGAGAGAGACACGGACACAGAGAGATACAAAGAGACTATTCCCTATGCACGTTTTTCCAAGGCTCTTCTGTCTATTAGTGAAGCTCAGTAAGGAGGCAGAATGTCACTTAGCAGGCAGAAGCTCACAAGAACTCCAGAGAGCAGGTATATAGAATCTGGGTCACTTCATCTTTAATAAAATCCGAAAACAGAGTCAACACAGACTATACTTGAGGTGTGCATTGTGTAAGATAGAATGTGAATCCAGTAACTGTTCTTCTGCTTAAACCCCTCCAATAGCTTCTCATTCATTTACAAACTCCAACACCTTGCCTACACCACAAAGGCCCGTAAGATGTCTTTTCCTAGCCCTTCGTCATCCCGGCTGGTGCTGAATTTGCTGTAATCTTGCCTCTGCCGTCAGCCCACACAGGGCTGGATTTCAGGTGTGCATCACCACAGCTTGGCTCAAACTCTGATGCTGATTTACCCCACAGCCCTTTCTGATCCTTAACTGTACCAAGTTCATTTGCATCTTGGGGCTTTGTAGTTATAAATCTTCTCACTTGGACCTTTCTGTCCCGTGTCCTGTCATCGTCCAGCTGTTAGTAAAAGTGCCCTCCGGCTCCACCTCTGCTCTCTCTTCGCAGAGCATATGCCATCACTTGATACTGGACCTGTTTGTAGGTTGTCCTCACCACGATTTAAGCTCCCTGAGAGCTGAGACCCTGTTTGTCTTGCTGTCTGTTATCTCCTCAGCATCTAATTCCCAGGCCTGGTAGGTGTTTTCAATGAGTAGTGGCTTTGAATTTCTTGTAATACAACATTCCTTCCCAAGCTTCCCATAGTTAGCTTCAGTTGTTGACTGGACAAAAACTAAGAGTCGCCTGGTAAGAGAGGAGCTCAGCTGAGGAGTCGCCTTGATGAGAATGCCCCGTGGCCATGTCTGTTATGGTATGGTTAGCAGTATTTCATAACTGCTAAGTGAGCTGGCCTGGAACTCTCACATAAACCAGACTAGCACAGAAATGGCAGCTTTTTTCCTGCTGTGCCTTAGCAGTCTGGGGGTTCCAGGTCCCCCTGAATCCTTGTGCTTCTCTGCTTTGTGGAGCATCCTCCCTCCCTCTCAGATCCAGAGATGTCCTCAGTGCACCTGCATGTACAGCAACCGCATCAGCAGTACAGGTGGTTCACAGCTGCCCACACTCTCGTACACACTTAGATCTCCAGACTTCTTTTTGCTGATGGCCCCTAGGTAATCTGAACTGAGGAAACTGCGTGGGAGGAGACCGGACATGACCTGCGAGGATGCAGGGGTTGGACGTGCCACACTCATCCTTTGGAACCCTGGGTATGAAACTAAACACAAGCAGGAATTGGGGTGAAGACAAAGCAAGTACCGATGCCCTGAGCTGAGGGCTGAGCTTTGCCTGCACACAGCCCTAATTATAGATGTGTGTTTACATTTTACTTTGAGTAGGCTAGTGCAGATGTTGTAAGTAACATAGTAACTGGTACTAGAGGAAAGTTTTGAATGTGACCCTTGTATTTGCAATTGGCTGGGTTAATGCTGGGGAAAGGCTAGTACCAGCTCTTCAAGGGTAGAAGTGGTAATCCTTGGAATGTGGGCTAGTTATAATGTGACTTATTAATCTATGACCGAGACAAGGAGCCTGTTGACAGTACACAACTAACAGAAAATACTTCGGATGTTGGGCTATCCTGTTCTGTGTTCCCTGATATGTTCACTCCAGACAAAGCAGGGACAGAAGGTAAAACTGTACCAGGAAACAAGTCTGGAATACACTAGAAGTTGATTCCTTGCAGTCTCTGCAAAGCCATTCTGTTACTTCTCTGAAAAAAAAAAAATACAGCTGCTTTCATCTGTTGGGATGTATCTCACTAGCGAGAAGCAGATTATCCTGTGAGCAATCTGGATTAGCTGTCTATCTGGGGGAGGGTCCTTTTTGAAACAGTGTGTCTGAGGTAAACAGTCTATTTGCTAGTCTTGAGCTCTTCAGCATCCTCCCTCCCTTCCTTAGAGTAAGGAGTTCAGATTTGGGAAGAGATCATTGCTCCTGTAGCAATCGGGCTAATTCTACTGTGACTTCTGAACAGCAAGTAACCAGCTGGCTTCATTACTGCTTTGGGGTTCCCTGGCTGCAGTGACAGGTTCAGAAATGAACATGTGACTTCTTCGGAATCTAGTAGAGTCAATGGGAGGTATTCTAGACCCATGGGGCCAGTGCTGGCTGTATCGCAGCACATTATAAACATGGGGGAGGGGTGGTTGAGAAGGAAGCTAATTCAGAAAGAGTTAGAAGGAAGCCTGGAACTTAAAGGGCACAGAAATCAAAAGCAATGTGTAGGCTCCCAATCCAAAAAGCAAAACCAAAACAAAGCCAAAAGCCTCTTTAAAAACTAAAAAAAAAATCCACAGAGCAGCTAGAATTTAAATGCTGATTGTCTATTTAATGATATGAAGATAGCCCTGATTTCAGATTTATTGTAATTGTTATATTTTACAAGGAATCCTGAATTTTTAGAGACTCATACTATAATATTTGTGAATGAAATGATTTGTCTGGATTAGTGTCAAAGTAACAGGGAAATGAAGGCAAGTGGGTGGGGGCAGGAGAGCCCAAGTGGTCCCAAGACGATGGGTTTAAAGCTGAGCAAGGAACACGTTAGGGTTCCACACCACCACACTTGCTTTTCCAATATTTGAAGAAAAACAAGCAAGTGAGAAGCAACAGGGCCTATGGACCATTTCCTTCTTAGTCCACTAGAGGCTGTAGGAGGGGTTAGCTCGAATCATTACCAACCTGCTTGGATATGGAGTTAAAGAAAAGTTAGTTTGTTCATCTCAAAATAATCTCTTGGCTTTTGGATAAAATGGGACACTGAAGTCTTCCCATAATAGTTGAGGATGTAGGTCGTTCTTTCTAGAAAAGGATTAAAGTTACTGAAAGGGATACTAGTGACTGAAATCAGAGACTTTAGTAATTGTGGCAATAAAAAAAAAAAAAATTTAAAAATAAAATCCCGCTGGGCGGTAGTGGCTCACGCCTTTAATCCCAGCACTTGGGAGGCAGAGGCAGGCGGATTTCTGAGTTCGAGGCCAGCCTGGTCTACAGAGTGAGTTCCAGGACAGCCAGGGCTACACAGAGAAACCCTGTCTCGAAAAACCAAAAAAATAAAATAAAAATAAAAATAAAAATAAAATAAAATAAAATAAAATCCCAACCAGTGAGCTAAGAAACAAGAGAAAAAAGAAATACTCCAAGAAGCAAAAAGAAACAGGTAAGAGAATAATGAGATGCCCTACTTATTAGCACAGACTGTTCAGGCCTGGTGGGCGGGGCCCGCCTTCACACTGTCTTCTTCTCTGCCATGATAACTCTTAACACACATGCTCAAACCACATCATTCCTGGGACAGTCTCAGCTCACCTAGACCCAATTCTGGTCTATA